TTACACTTTTACAAACTGAAACTGAAACATTTTACTCTGAAACATTTTACTCTGAAACATTTTACACCGAAACGTTTTACCCTGAAACATGTTATGTTTCTGGTGGATTTGATTGTTCTCGAAGGGAGACGTGTCGAGTTTGCCTCGTCCCTCAGCGTGTCGGGGTTAAACCTGAATCTTTTCCTCTGTCGGACGAGAATCCACGACCATTTCGCCGCAAGAGAAAGTCCAGTTTTGAGGCTGAAAAGGAGCGAAGACAAACTGAGGTGATTCTTGGAGATCTCTTCCAGCGATTGCGCGAATGACGCCGACGAAGGGTCTAAAAACTGTCTTAAAAAATTATTTCTAGACAGGTCACTTCAACGGTAATTCTGAACGCGCACCGGCTGTAAACGAGCAGTGGAGGAGGGAGGTGGTGTCAGGACTGTCGCTGTATTTCTTTTCCCTTAAAAAAATCCTCTATACAACCTTTAATCTATGGAGTAAGAAAGCTGTCAAAAATATTCCTGCGCATAAAATAGAAATCCGTGCGTATTTGGCTGTAGCTGCGCATAAAATAAATATTTGTAAACTCTCCAATGAGTCCAGTCGTACATAAAATATATTGTGTGTATTTTATCCATCAGAATACGAATTGAAAAATTACGACGTCATGAATTACAATCACCAAATGAAAATTTACGATTACGCTTTCATCAGTACGAATACGAATTCACAGACGGAACTTTACTGTCAAAAATACGTCATCACTTCACAGACATTATCCATCGAGCAGAAGAAACATCGATCAAGATCAAGACTGTGCAGCTCAAGTTTGTAGCAGAGTAAAAACAGAGTAAAAACACAAGGAGCTACAACAGCGACCAACAAGTGGGTTCATTAAAATCTATTGTAAAAATGTCTTGAATTCAGGAACCGAACGCTGCTGTGTAATATTGTGTAGAAACACCTCCTTTGAACGGGAAATTGCACCTATATGTTAGAAAACATAGTGGAGCCAGTTGGTAACATCAGACGTAACGTTATCCCATTAGATTAAAACATTCACGACTACAGCCACAGCGAGCATCAGTCAGTCTGAACCTTCAGCTGCATTTCAGACAATGGATTATACTGAGTTATAATGGGTTATACATGAGTTATAATGGGTTATACGTGAGTTATAATGGGTTATACGTGAGTTATAACGGGTTATACGTGAGTTATAATGGGTTATACGTGAGTTATAATGGGTTATACGTGAGTTATAACGGGTTATACGTGAGTTATAATGGGTTATACGTGAGTTATAATGGGTTATACATGAGTTATAATGGGTTATACGTGAGTTATAATGGGTTATATGTGAGTTATAATGGGTTATACATGAGTTATAATGGGTTATACGTGAGTTATAATATATGGGTTATACATGAGTTATAATGGGTTATACATTAAATGGGTTATAATTAGCAAATCCATCCACGTCACGGTGACGTTAAACTTACCGGTAAATACTGTAAACATACCAAGGTGTTGCCTGTAAACACGAACATTAATTGATGCTGGAAGCTGCATTAAACTGTAATGTGTAACATTTCATTGGCTGTGACGTCTGTAACCAGGACAGTTTGGTCGTGTTTGGTGTAAACTGGGACATTTCAGCGTCCCGAGGAACTTTTGGTGGCATTTCATGCGAGAAATGCAGCTGAAGGTTCAGACTGACTGATGCTCGCTGTGGCTGTAGTCGTGAATGTTTTAATCTAATGGGATAACGTTACGTCTGATGTTGCCAACTGGCTCCACTATGTTTTCTAACATATAGGTGCAATTTCCCGTTCAAAGGAGGTGTTTCTACACAATATTATACAGCAGCGTTCGGTTCCTGAATTCAAGACATTTTTACAATAGATTTTAATGAACCCACTTGTTGGTCGCTGTTGTAGCTTCTTGTGCTTTTACTCTGTTTTTACTCTGCTACAAACTTGAGCTGCACAGTCTTGATCTTGATCGATGTTTCTTCTGCTCGATGGATAATGTCTGTGAAGTGATGACGTATTTTTGACAGTTAAGTTCCGTCTGTGAATTCGTATTCGTACTGATGAAAGCGTAATCGTAAATTTTCATTTGGTGATTGTAATTCATGACGTCGTAATTTTTCAGTTCGTATTCTGATGGATAAAATACACACAATATATTTTATGTACGACTGGACTCGTTGGAGAGTTTACAAATATTTATTTTATGCGCAACTACAGCCAAATACGCACGGATTTCTATTTTACACACACGAATATTTTTGACAGCTTTCTTACTCCATATTAATCCTCTTTTATTATTCTACTGTTTATCTTCATGCTTAAGTTTGTGGATAATTTACAAGAAATAATTAAAGAGAAAAACTTGTCGCCTTAAATTCCTGTGAGAATTATCACAGCGAAGTTGTTCTCGTGAGAATCTCTCCTCGCTCCAGGTGCCACTTTCTACAACTGTGAAAACGACTAAATTCTCGTAAATGTTTGCAGAAAGAGGCTGAGTGTAAAAATCTGTTACTGCGAAACACCATTCACTGCTCTGCTTCAGCCGGGATCGGGAAAAACACTGGAATTATGTTACAGGCCGATTTCTCCACCAAACCTTTTTTCTTTTTAAATGTGAAAAGCCGTGTCCTGTTTTCCTCGTTGGGAAATATTAATGAAATAATCCAAAAGGACTTTTTGGTCTCTACAAACTTCATCTGAGACTTGGATGATTCACAAAGATTCAGTAATAAACCAGTGTGACGTTCATGTTCCTGAAACACTCAAGTTAAGAAAGACTAAGATATCGTAGTTTTTGTTGTTGTTTTTTTTTTCTCTAGACTTTATTTTATTTGACAGATCATAACTCCGGATCAATTCTCGTGGACTTTTCCTCAAAAACGACTCTTCTCACAGAATCCAATAACGTAATCGTGATTCTGACAGATTTAAGAGATTTAAGATTTGCATGATAATAACAAAAGAAACAAAAGAAAACAAATGAGAAAATGAAGTCCAAACTCAGGCCCCGTCCGCGTTAGTACATATTCGAGTCATTTTCATTGTGGATGCAGTGTTCATTCACACTAATTCGATGGAAAACAGCTCCAGAGGAATTGGAGCTGTTTTCCACGAGTTCATGTTCGTGCAGATCTGATCCGGCACTTTGTGGACACCTGAAAACGCTGATACTCTGGTGTAAGAGCACTAGTTGCGTCCTTATTGGACCACGTCACTGTGACATGTTCCTTCCTGATTCTCTGAGTTCGTGACATCGGTCATTGCGGAAAACAGTTTAAACAAACCACTAAAATCCAGTGTTACGTTCATTAACAGGTGAACCTCGTCGTCGGTCCACATTAAGACTGTTTTCACACTTTCACACATGTTCCTCAGCTCAAAATCGGCTGCTGCAACTTCAGACATGGTGACAACGTGACACCAACCTCGTGCTCCTCGTTGGGAAATATTAATGAAATAATCCAAACGAACTTCTTGGTCTCTTCAAACGTCATCTGAGACTTGGATGATTCACAAAGATTCAGTAATAAACCAGCGAGATGTTCATGTTCCTGAAACACTCAAGTTAAGAAAGACTAAGAAATTGTAGTTTTTTTGTTTGTTTTTTTTTCTCTCTAGACTTTATTTTATCCAACAGATCATAATTCTGGATCATTCCCATGGACTTTTCCTCAAAAATGACTCTTCTCCAGTGACATAAGTGATTCTGATAGAGAGTTTCCAGTGAGTAAAAGAAAGAAAACATCAAGTTAACAACTAAGACGACTCAGATTAGAGAATGACAAAGCTTTGTTTCAGGTACAGCTACTGCAGCCCAAAAAATGTATCAGGGCAGTTTTAAAAGTCTTAAAAAGGTCTTAAATTTCATATTCCTAAATTAAAGCCTTAAAAAGTCTTAAATTATCTTGTCCAAGTCTTCAAACGTATTAAAATCCAGTGTTACGTTCATTAACAGCTGAACCTCGTCGTCCGTCCACATTTTCACACTTGCCATGTTCCTCAGCTCAAAATCGGCTGCTGCAACTTCAGACACGATGCTCCACTTCGTTGTTTTTAATGCCCATGTGACGACGTGACGACGTGATGCCAGCCTAGTCATGTGACTTGCGTTTCGGGCGGTTTCACGTTACTGTCTGGAGGGAAGGATTTGATTGTGGACACAGAAACGACGTGTTTCTGAATCGTATCACCGTTTCTGAGCGTCACTGTAAACGTAACCTCAGTAAACAAAGATAAATCAAAACGAATCATATTAAAGAAAGACAAAAGGGTCGTAGTCCTGCTCTGAGCCCGTAAGCTCCAGAACTGGTCAGAACTGCACGTTTCTGACATCACGCGGTGGGCGGAGCTCGTCCAGTATAAAGGAAGTAACGCCGAAGAACGAAAACTTTTTTAGTACTTCGCACCAGTGAGCACAGGCCTCTGAAAACTACACAACGCCATCTGGGGCCGATCCGATCAAAACACAAACTCTTTTGCAAAAAATGTAAACAGGAGAATTGTCTTTTGGTCGTTTTGATGTGTTCATTTGTGTTTCTTTCACATCATTTGACAGTAACACAAGTTTTTTCTGAACATGTAAAAGTCAAACTGCCAGAATTGAGTCGCGACAACTAAACTTAAGTAACAGTCTCTACATTAAACTTTATCGGACATCTATATTTTTATTTTATTGTAATACGTTCCATTGCAACAGTTGGGGCATTATACTTCCATGAGTTTACTCCTGACTCTTGACTGTAAGGCTGTGTTTGTGTTTCAGGTTTGCCCCTGACTCTTGACTGTAAGGCTGTGTTTGCGTTTGTGTTTCAGGTTTGCCCCTGACTCTTGACTGTAAGGCTGTGTTTGTGTTTCAGGTTTGCCCCTGACTCTTGACTGTAAGGCTGTGTTTGTGTTTGTGTTTCAGGTTTGCCCCTGACTCTTGACTGTAAGGCGTTCTTCGGATACAGCGGGGAAAACCGACGTCCGATCATTTACTGGATGAGAGGAGACAAGTTTGTGGAGGAGCTCGCCGGACACATCAAGGAAAGCGAAGTCAGGTGAGAATCTGTCGAGAAATATATGAAAATATGTTTACAATAAAATGGACTAAACTGGAGATAAAACTAGGGAAGTCCTGAACTGTGAGAAAAAAAAAAAAAAAAAAAAAAAGAGGCAGGTCATGTGGGCTCTATTTTCTTTTTTTTTTTCTACCAACAACTGAAAAAAAAAATTCTCAAATATTTTTTCTTCCATTTTTTGTTCTTATTTTTTCTGTCTTTTTTTTTTCAATGTCATTTTTTTTTTTTTTTTTTTTTTTTTTTTACCATTGATGTGGCTGATAAATAAATAAATAAATAAATTTGAAAAGTGAAAGTGAAAGTGAAAGTGAGTGCTGGGCGTCTCTGCTGTTTGCTCCTGGTCTCAGTCATCGGTTATAAAATGAACAAATCGTGATGTTTTTTCTCCAAAAAAAATAAAATAAAATAAAAAGCGTAACAGTGAAATTTGATGTGGACCAGGACTAAAACAGGACTAAACCAGGACTAAAATGGGACTAAACCAGGACTAAAACAGGACGGAACCAGGACGAGCTCGTGGGTGACCGCAGGAGAAAGGAGCGGTGTTGCGGTGCAGAGGTCTACCCGGCACTACCCGCCCGTAAAATTTCAGAATATTAAAACCCGTGTGCAGGACTCTAACTCTAACTTTTTGTGTGACGGTTACATCGTCCTCTGTGTTTTGGGTGCGAGCGCAGGAGACTTTGTCGGTGCAGAACGTTTCGTCGATACTGTGGGTTTTGTCGGGGAGAAAACTTCTTCAGAATCCCACTGATACAGATCCAACATTTATGTAAATGTGTCAAACTGAACACGTTCTGCACTGAACAGGAGACACGACGCGGAGGAGACTGATTGACAGTGGGCGAAATCCGTGGGTCATTCGTTCATTCGTTTTTCAATATAAAACCAAAAATAAGAAAACGAAAAAACAACAGTTTTCTTCGTTATTTGTCTCCAAAACCAAAATAAAAAAACAGATAATGATTCGTTTTTTCAGTTTTCGATATTGTGTTTAAATGAAGAATGGAAAAAACGGATAACGGCCGTTTCCCGTTTACGTGACTTCAGTGACTGAGATGCCGAACTTTTGCACCGCATACGGACTGAACCAGGACTGATCCAGGTCCAAGACCAGACCGAGATCAGAGCGGGACTGAGACCGGGACCAGAGCGGGACCAGAGCGGGATCAGACCGGGACCAGAGCGGACTCCGAGCTTTGACTCCGAGCCTCCACGGGGTCCAAGCCTCAGCTTCGAGCTCTGGTCCTGCCGTGGGCTCTGAGCCTCCGGTCTGGTCCCGGACCTGGTCCTGGTCTGGTCCCGGTCTTGTCTCAGTCTTGTCTCTGTCTCAGGCCCGCTCTGGTCCCGGTCTGGTCCCAGTCTCAGTAGCGCTCTGGTCCCGCTCTGGTCCCGGACCTGGTCCATTTGAACCAAAAGCTCTTAGTTCAGTTTGTTTTCGTTGGTGTGAAAGTGTCAGTTGGATGTTTTGCTCCACCTCAGAACCAGTCGTGGTTCTTGAGTGTGGAGGACTGGAGCAGCACGTCCAGACCTGGAGTCCACAGAACATCTCACTTTCCCCACACAGAACCAGAGCACAGACGATGACACGGAACCCACTCGGACCACTGGTCCCGGTCTCAGTCCCGCTCTGGTCCCGGTCTGGTCCCGGTCTGGTCCCGGTCTGGTCCCGGACCTGGATCAGTCCTGGTTCAGTCCGTATGCGGTGCAAAATTTCAGCATCACAGTCATTGAAGTCGCATAAACGGGAAACGGCCGTTATCCTTTTTTTCCATTCTTCATTTAAACACAAAATCGAAAACTGAAAAAACAAATCATTATCATTTTTTTTATTTTGGTTTTTTAGACAAATAACGAAGAAAACTGTTGTTTTTTCGTTTTCTTATTTTTAGTTTTATATTGAAAAACGAATGAACGAATGACACACGGACGGGTCTACAGCCAATCAGGACGCAGGGGGAGGAGCAAACGGAAGTGAGGCCGCGAAAAGGGACGACTGTTTTTATTTTATGCTCAACTAAAGACAAATATGCACAGATTTCTATTTCTGTTTTCTATTTCTGAAAGCTTTCTAACTCCATAACCCCCCACCAGAAAAGTTTCACAGTGCAGCTTTAAAGTAAACATTTTAATGATGATCTAAAAGTGTTCACTGTGCATGTGTTTGTTTGTTTGTTTGTTTGTTTGTTTGTTTGTTTGTTTGTTTTTTGTTTGGTGCAGACTGGTTCGGGAGCATCTGGGGGAGAAGGAGGTGGAGCTCTCTCTGATTTTCGACCACGTGGACGAGGCCGACCTGAACAACTACACCTGCTACGTGGAGAACAGCATCGGCCGGAGGGGAGGGAGCGCCCTGCTGCTCAAGAAAGGTCAGATGCCCTCCCGTCCTCCTCCTGCGTGTGTGTGTCAGATGCCCTCCCGTCCTCCTGCGTGTGTGTGTGTCAGATGCCCTCCCGTCCTCCTGCGTTTTTAAACGACAGAATAAGAGAAAACAACGGCGGAGGAAGAAGAGTTTAAAACAGAATCGCTCTCGTCTTTCTCACCGCAAACAATCCTCCGGAATGATGCCGATCCTTTTGGTTTTACCTCATATTTCTTGTTTTCTCTCTCTCTCTTCTTTCTCTCTCCTCTCTCTCCCGTTCTTTCTCTCTCTCTTTGAACAGACGTTTGCATAGTGCTATTCTCTCTCTCTCTCTCACTCCCCCTCTCTGTTTATCTTCTTGATTTCTCTCTCTCTTTTCTCTCTCTCTCTCTCTTTCTCTTCTCTCGTTCTTTCTCTTTCTTTGAGCATAGGTTTCCATAGTGCTATTCTCTCTCTCTCTCTCTCTCTCTCTCTCTTCTCTCTCTCTCTCTCTCTCTCTCTCTCTCTCTCTTCTCTTTCTTTTGTCCTTCTCTCTGCCCTCTCTCTCTTTGCCTATATGACCTCTCCTCTTCTCTCTCTCTTTCTCTCTCTCTTTGGACATAAGTTTGCCTAGAGATATTCTCTTTCTCTCCTCTTTCTCGCTCTTTTTCTCTCCTCTCTCTCTCGTTCTTTCTCTCTTTGAAGAACAGATATTTGCATATTGCTATTCTCTCTCTCTTTTTCTCTCTTTCTCTCCTCTCTCTCTTTCTGTCCTCTCGTTCTTTCTCTCTCTTTGAACAGAGGTTTGCATAGTGCTATTCTCTCTCTCTCTGCCCCTCTCTTTCTTTCTCTCTCTCTCACTTTCTTCCCCCTCTCTCTTTCTCTGTTTATCTTCCCAATTTCTCTCTCTCTTTGAACATAAGTTTGCCTAGAGATAGTCTCTCTCTCTCTCTCTCTCTCTTTCTCTCTCTTTTTCTCTTCTCTCTCTCATTCTTTCTCTCTTTGAGCATAGGTTTGCATATTGCTATTCTCTCTCTCTTTCTCTCTCTTTTTCTCTCTTTCTCTCCTCTCTCTCTCTTTCTGTCCTCTCTCATTCTTTCTCTCTCTCCTCTCTCTCTCTCTCTCTTTGAACAGAGTGCTATTCTCTCTCTCTCCCTCTCTCTCTCTTTCTCTCTGTTTTTCTCTCTTCTCTTTTACATTTACACACACATTTACACACACATTTACACACACACATATTACACATTTACACACATATTTACACACACATTTACACACACATATTTACACACACATTTACACACACACATTTACACATTTACACACATTTACACACACATTTACACACACACATTTACACACATTTACACACACATTTACACACACGCATTTACACACATATTTACACACTTACACATTTACACACACATTTACGCACACACACATTTACACACATTTTGACACACATTTACAACATTTTGACACACATTTACACACATTTTGACACACATTTACACACATTTTGACACACATTTACACACATTTGACACACATTTACACACATTTACACACATTTACACACATTTACACACATTTACACACATCTTGACACACATTTACACACATCTTTACACACATTTACACACATTTTGAAAAGCATTTACACACATGTTGACACCATTTACACACACATTTGACACACATTTACACACATTTTGACACACATTTTGACACACATTTACACACATTTTGACACGCATTTACACACATTTGACACACATTTACACACATTTTGACACACATTTACACACATGTTGACACACATTTACACACATTTGACACACATTTACACACATTTTGACACACATTTACACACATTTTGACACGCATTTTCACACATGTTGACACACATTTACACACATTTTGACACACATTTTGACACACATTTACACACACACATTTTGACACACATTTACACACATTTTGACACACATTTACACACACACATTTTGACACACATTTTACACACACATTTACACATGTTGACACGCATTTACACACATGTTGACACACATTTACACACATGTTGACACGCATTTACACACATGTTGACACACATTTACACACATGTTGACACACATTTACACACACATTTACACACATTTTGACACACATTTACACACATTTTGACACACACATTTACACACATTTACACACACACACATTTTGACACACATTTACACATTTTGACACGCATTTACACACATTTTGACACACATTTTACACACATTTACACACATTTACACACATTTTGACACACATTTACACACATTTTGACACGCATTTACACACATTTTGACACACATTTACACACATTTTACACACACATTTTGACACACATTTACACACATTTTGACACGCATTTACACACATTTTGACACACATTTACACACACACATTTGACACACATTTTACACACATTTTGACACACATTTACACACATTTTGACACACATTTACACACATTTACACATTTTGACACACATTTACACACATTTTGACACACATTTACACACACACTTACACAAGATTTCCGGCCATTGTGAAAAACGTCTGTTGAAGCTGGAGCCGATGGAGCCATAATCGCGCCCGTACTCACTTCCTGTTGGCGGTTTTGCTCTGTCCGTTTACACAGCGAGTCTCTGGACGCGTTCGCTCCGACGCGTGGAAATTACCGAACGAGCCGGAGGGAAAATTGAAAGGAAAAGTGGAGCGATATGACACGACAAAAACACACATCTCAAATGTTGTTTTTAAAAATTGTCCCAGAGATTTCCGAGGCTTTTAGCTCCGACCGCCTCAGTGGGGAATCGGAGTCAGAATTTGGCGAAATTGTTTGTGAATAACTCGTTTTTCCTCCCGGAGCAGAGACATCACAGGATCTGCTTTGTTTTTCTCACACGGTGACGGCTCCAGTCAAAACAAAAAGAAAAAGCTGGAGTTTAGACACGTCGGCGTCGTCTGTCCTCCTCCGCTTCATCTCAGCTTCTCCTCTGACCCTCCAAAAAAATAAATTAAAAATCACTTCTGGGGTAGTAAAATATATTAAATCAACACTGAAATAACTTAATCCTGTGAGAACTAAAACTTATTTAATGGTGTGAGTAATGACGACACTTGAGAATCCGCGTGTCATTCGTTCATTTGTTTTTTAATATCAAACCAAAAATAAGAAAACGAAAAAAAAAACAATTATTTTCTTCATTATTTGTCTCCAAAACCAAAATGAAAAAACAGATAATGATTCGTTTTTTCAGTTTTTGATTTTTTTTTTTTTGTTTAAATGAAAAATGAAAAAAAAGAAAAAAAAAAAAAAAAAGGGATAACGACCGTTTCCCGTTTCCGTGACTTAAACTGCGATGCCGGACTGAACCAGGACTAAAACAGGACTGAACAGGTCTAAAGCGGGTCTCAGTCCTGTCTCAGTCCTGGTCTCAGTCCTGGTCTCAGTCCTGGTCTCAGTCCTGGTCTCAGTTCCGGTCTGGTCCCAGTTTCCTGACCACCCGAGAATCTACGCGGGTGCACGTCCAGGAAAGTCCCAACACTCCTGGTTCAGTCCTGGTTCAGTTCTGGTTTAGGACTGAGACCGGGCCCGGACCAGGACCAGGACCAGGACCAGGACCTGGACTGAGACCGATTTAGAGCTGGTTTAGACCTGTTTTAATCCTGGTTTAGTCTTGGTTTAGTCTTGGTTTAATCCTTCTCTTCTTCATCTTCTGCTCCTCTGACCTTCTCCTCTTCATCTTCTGACCTTCTCCTCTTCATCCTCTGACCTTCTCCTCTTCATCCTCTGACCTTCTCCTCTTCATCCTCTGACCTTCTCTCTCTTCATCTCTACCTTCTCCTCTTCATCTTCTGACCTTCTTCTCTTCATCTTCTGCTCCTCTGACCTTCTCCTCTTCATCTTCTGCTTCTCCTCTTCATCCTCTCCTCTGACCTTCTCCTCTTCATCTTCTGACCTTCTCTTCTTCATCTTCTGCTCCTCTGACCTTCTCCTCTTCATTCTGACTCTGACCTTCTCTTCTCTTCATCCTCTGACCTTCTCCTCTTCATCTTCTGACCTTCTCCTCTTCATCTCCTCTTCATCCTCTGACCTTCTCCTCTTCATCTTCTGACCTTCTCCTCTTCATCCTCTGACCTTCTCCTCTTCATCTTCTGACCTTCTCCTTCATCCTCCTTCTCCTCTTCATCTTCTCTGACCTTCTCCTCTTCATCCTCTGACCTCTCTCTTCATCTTCATGCTCCTCTGACCTTCTCCTCTTCATCCTCTGCTCCTCTGACCTTCTCCTCTTCATCTTCTGACCTTCTCCTCTTCATCCTCTGACCTTCTCCTCTTCATCTTCTGCTCCTCTGACCTTCTCCTCTTCATCCTCTGCTCCTCTGACCTTCTCCTCTTCATCTTCTGACCTCTCCTCTTCATCCTCTGACCTTCTCTTCTCCTCTGACCTTCTCCTCTTCATCCTCTGACCTTCTCCTCTTCATCCTCTTCATCCTCTGACCTTCTTCCTCTTCATCCTCTGACCTTCTCCTCTTCTCTGACCTCTCCTCTTCATCCTCTGACCTTCTCCTCTTCATCCTCTGACCTTCTCCTCTTCATCTTCTGCTCCTCTGACCTTCTCCTCTTCATCCTCTGCTCCTCTGACCTTCTTCTCTTCATCCTCTGACCTTCTCCTCTTCATCTTCTGACCTTCTCTTCTTCATCCTCTGCTCCTCTGACCTTCTCCTCTTCATCTTCTGCTCCTCTGACCTTCTCCTCTTCATCTTCTGACCTTCTCCTCTTCATCCTCTGACCTTCTCCTCTTCATCCTCTTCATCCTCTTCATCCTCTGACCTTCTCCTCTTCATCCTCTGACCTTCTTCTCTTCATCTTCTGACCTTCTCCTCTTCATCTTCTGACCTTCTCCTCTTCATCTTCTGACCTTCTCCTCTTCATCTTCTGCTCCTCTGACCTTCTCCTCTTCATCTTCTGACCTTCTCTTCTTCA